CCCCTGGGACCCTCGGGCAGCAGGGCCCATGGGTGCGCACCCACCAGGGCCCCACGGGCACCGAGCCCCTGGGACCCTCAGGCAGCAGGGCCCATGGGTGCGCACCCACCAGGGCCCCGCAGGCACCAAGCCCCTGGGACCCTCGGGCACCGAGACCCATGTGGGACCCCAGTTCTGTGACGCCGGGCAGGGACTGACACATCCCAACCCTGGGTGCCACCTCTGGGACAGACACAACCTGACACCCAGCTGTGACAGCCACCATTCCCACCCTGTGTCCCTGTAAGTGACACCCCCGTCTCCCCTCATCGTGGCCGCCAGCCACTGCTGGGGCTGCCAAGGTAGGGTGCCACATGGGTGCTTGTGGATGCTGAGGATTGCAGTGGCATGTGGGTGCAGAGGGGTGGTGATGGGATTCAGGGTGCCACATGGATGTTGGAGGGTGATGGGGATCAGGGTGCCACATGGGTGCTGGTGGTTGATGAGGATTGAGGTGGCACATGGGTGCTGGAGGGTGGTGATGGGGATTGGGATGGGACATGGCGCGCAGCATGTTTGCGCAGCAGTGTCTGGGCTCTACCTCGGCCTTTTGTGGGCCTTGTTGGAAGTAGTGGATCTCATTTACTGAAAACAGAAACACCCATCTGGATGTGATCCTGCGCAATATGCTCTAGGTGACTCTGCTTGAACAGGGAGGTTGGACTAGATCTCCAGAGGTCCCATCCAACCTAAACGATTCTGTGATTCTGTGGAGACTTTCTGGGGACCCCCAAGAAACTAGACGGTGCTTGCTGCTAGCAGGAAGGGAGAGCTGGGCAAGGACTCCTGCAGGGGACCTTGACTTAACTCCTCCTGGGAAGTTCTAGCTAGGTGGGGCTGCTGCTAACGAGCTCTCTGGGCTGCCCTGGTCAGAGGGAGTTGGGGCTGTTGTTTCAGGTGGCTCCTGATTGGGTGGGTCAAGCCCCCTTGTGAGTCACTGCTGGGCAGAGGCCTAGATAGGAGCCAGGACTAGAGCGCAGCCAATGGACGCAGCAGTTCGCGCAGAAGGGCGCCAGAAGGCAAAGAAGGCATCTCTCCATTTTACACAGTGGTGTGTCCTTCCCCAGGCATGGTCATGACACGCCGCAGAGCACGTTCCCCAGTGGCTGCGGGAGGTGCTGCAT